CAGTTACTCTGACATATGCAAAGATATTCACGTGCACAGGGGGCTTTCACTGTGACTGATCTAGGCCCTTTGGAAAACACTAGTGCAAGCAGATGGTTTCTAGTCTCCAAATAATATATTCTACGAATATACCCTTCTTCTAGAATGAAGAAAAGGAAAGAAAGTTTTAAAAAAAAACTATCTAATAAAAGAACAATGAGCTGCTATGGGCTAAATGCATAGAAAATAAGCAAAGAGAAAGTGTAGATCAGAAAGAGAGATAAAGAGAAGGGCAAAACTTCTCATATAAAAACAGGCTCTCGTATTTGTAGCATGTAAATATTTTTTATAAAATCACTGTTTATACTTTTAGCTTCAATCTTAGATATCAAAAAAGTAAATATCAAAATATCAAAAGTAACATTACAGAGAGTAAATACATTAATACCTTTGCCCCAAATTCCCAAGTGGTCACCACCTAATCTGACAGTTAACAAATGATAATAATCAGAAAACTTTTAAAAATTCTAGAGAGTAAGACACATTTCTGGCAATATACTCGGGAAAGAGAGCTAGAACTAAAGGTTGAAAAACACAATATGGAGAATGTCAACTCAAAAACTCTGAGAACCAACAAGCTTGTAGTGCTGCAAGGGTAAGGTGACTTGCCTGTGCTAATTCTCTAAAGCTCATCAGTTTGCTTGAATGAAGGCACCTTCTTGGAATGCCTCCCACATGAACATGACTATTATTTCCTACTCTCTCTGGACTATTATATCCTTAACTCCATGCCATGCTCTTATGGCTATGGCAGAAAACCATGGAATATGGATAATTGGGTTGCTCATGGCAATAATTTTGTAATAGCAATGAATAAGTTTATCTTCTACACTGACATTATCGATAAAGGTAGTTTAAAAGAAAAGATTTAAATGGAATAAAGCAAGGTTTAAATTAAATGGATGTCGCTCGTTTCCAAATATCACATTTTGTAACAGTGATAACCACAGAAAATCAAGCAAGAACAATCAAATTGTAGAAAATATCTGTTATTTACTGATACCACTGAGTTAATCTTCAAAAATATCTCTCTCAATTATTATTGTATGTTATCAGACAACAAAAGACTTAAGCAAGTTGGAATTCCCAAACAATCTAGGGAAACTTCTTGATGCTTTTGCTCAAGATGTTCTGGATGTTTTTGCTTTAAAGAGAGTTAGATTATTTAAGAAAATCACGCCTGGCATTTGACACACTGGTTTAGATCTCAGCCATACTAATCATTGCTTCTCTGTAAGTCCAAAATTGAACCTGAGTTTGTGCGTCATTTTCTCATTCTGTAAAATGAAACTCTAATTACTTAGGTTTGAACTATGTTTTTAAGATTAAATGAAAAAATATACATAAAATAAGAAGTAATGTACTCCATGCTGAGTAAAAATCTGTCCTCAGACAAAATTTTTCCATCACAAACATACAAAAATATCATAAATGAGGATATTATAGAAAATACTGGAGGTGAGTGCAGTATACACACAAATATATGTAATCCTCACAGCGTGTTCTCATGACTTAAATATTTCGAACTTCATGTGAAACTATTTCCTCTTCATACAAAACTTAATATTCTCAAGTCACCTTTTATAATTACTTGAACTGCCTACAATCTAGAAAAACAGGGATCGTGGGAAATAAATCCCACCAATACATAGCTGATATGCATCCATGTCAGAGGACCACTTTACGTGTCAATGCAGGGTCATTGGAAAAGAAAAATTAAAAATTTTATTAAAAAATGCTTTCTCTTTCTCAGCCCTTCACTTTTGTAACTTCCATCCACATTTTTCTGCATTCCCCATCCATATTTTTCTGCTTTTCTCTCAGGCTACAATGTCATTTAAAAATATGCATTTTTGTGTATTGTCATTGGAGTAGCATAAAACTTTATTCCCAAAAAACAAGACCACAAGGAGGCATCTGAGGATTTCCCAGCTCAGCCTCTCTCCTTTATATAAATGGAAACATTTCCATTCAATAATATATATAAATTAATATGGTCCCAACAACCATCACATGACAATTGCCCCAACAGCACAACTTCTGAAATTTTTAGGGAACCAAAGGAAACGAAGATACCTAGGACTTTAAATAGACTGTTCTGAATATAATATTCCATTTTGAGCTTCAACTCCTATAGAACATGGCAACAGATCTTTAATAGTAAACCTATAACTTTCCACAGAACAACATTTCTTCTTTTCTAAGACCACCAACAGTGATTCAGGTCCTGAAAACGTGACTTGTTATTATTTGAAAAAGGATATTTAATTCATCCTTTTCTAAAAGATATCAGCCCCTACACAGCAACCTTATAGAAGCCACTCATAGAGGATGGTTAGAAAGGTGGCTGAAAGGAACAGTAGGACTTGACAGCTATGCTTTGAACATTATTAAACTCGGTTCTTCAGAAAATACCTTGTAAGTCCAAGGAATGCAACCATTTATTTATTTTTTTAAATTTAAGGATGATTTGACTCACAGAGTAGGGGCTAAAGGGTTCTGTGCAAGAGCAGGAACTAAGCAGAGACTAAGCCAGCCCAGGCATTCCACTGTGGCAACCTCTCCTGAAGGTGTTCTTTGCACAGCTCTCTCTTTCCTCTTCCTGAAGGCATACACTTGAAATTGGCCATGAAAATTTTAAAACAGTTGGTGCTCTCCTGGAAATGAAGAAGTCTAATAATATGATAACCTGATGCCTGAAATAGCCAAGCTTAGTCCCATAAATCAAAAGAATTAAAAGTTTTAAGGGACAAATTGTATCCTCTAGTGCAGGAGTCCCAAACCCCTAGACTATGGACCAGCATTGGTCTGTGGCCTGTTAGGAACTGGGCCGCATAGCAGGAGGTGAGTGGTGGGCCACTGAGCAAGGCTTCATTTGAATTTGCAGCCACTCCCCAGCAGTAGCATCATCGCCTCAGCTCCACTTCAGATCATCAGGCATTAGATTCTCTTAGGAGCACCAGTCACTGGTGCCAAAAAGGTTGGGGACTGCTGCTATAGTGGTATTTGGAAACTTGCAAGAATCACAAGGATTCAGAGAAGAGCTGGCCAACAGAACTTTCTGAAATAATAGGAATATTCTGTATATGATCAGTATAATATGAGCAATTGAAATGTACTTAGCCTGACTGAGAACTAAAGTTTAAATTTTATCTCAACTTAATTAATTTAATTTAATTTAATTTAATTTAATTTAAATGTAAATAACCATATGCAGCTAGTGGCTACCATTTTGAAAAAAGCAAATTTGCAGCCAACACTCAATATTCACTAAGTCTTTATACACTACTTAATTTTCTCAAGAATTATTCTACAAGAAAATAAGTCTCTAACATGGTTACTAATATTCATGACTATGTGATTGCAAAATCGGTATACATAAAAATAAATTCACTATCTCTACTAATTGAAACTGTGTCAAACAATCTACTTGATGTATGGGCTTTTCTCTTATGGCCTTATAGAGAAAGAGGAGAAAAACAAATTAAAAGAAAATAATCAATTGCTTGCCTATTTTGCAATTAGTGTGCCCCTGAATTGTGGAATGGAGAATTAAAAACAACATTAGCAATAACTAGGAGTATTTGATGGAAAGGGAAGATGTAAAAGATTAAAGAACAGTGACCTTTCATTTCTACTCCTGTTCAAAACAGGAGGAAACATATGCCAACAATCAGATAAGTGGACAGCTGATAAATTTTCAAATGTATTTTGCCAGCACAGTAGAATGCAACCACAAGACCCAATAATTCCGAAGCTTCAAGGGCTCTTAAACATTTTCCACTTCAAACTCTCCTGTGGATAAATAAGTAATTCGATGCCCAGAGAAGTGAGGTGTTCATTGTCCCTGAGATAATAGCCAAGCTCAGTCCCACATCTCCCAGTTTGTATTCTCTCCACTATGACCTTCACTCTGGTTCTGCTAAGCACAAACTGGGCCCTGAATATAGAAAGAGTCTCATCTCCATCTCTACTTGTTTTAACCTCTGGTGAACAGAAAATAAATAGTGTCTTAACCAGGCTGCTTTGCTTAGCACAAAAGTTCCCTGCATTAAAGCAGAATTCCTAAAAACGATGCAATTTACACAATTTACCAAGCATATTGTGATAAAAAGAAATTATAATACACAAATGTTTTTAAGAGGATGCTTTACATAGAGACAGTTTTTCCATTTGATGTGTATTTTGCTATAAAAGTGGCTCATTGTGCCTTCAAAAGATACATGAGTACAAGAAAGACAGCTCCAAATTTCCAAAGCAAATGACTATTCATCCAATGCCTTTGGTGACTTAATGGGACCATGAAAAGACATTAAGGTAGAAGCAAACAATTATTTTAAGGACCAAAAACAAACATCCTCCTTTTGGAGCTAAAACTTAGATATCATCTAGCTCGAAACTCTCATTTTTCAAGTGGAAAAAAGAATAAACTGATATGGTAGATTTTAAATGACTTGTTTCAGGTCACACAGCTAGTAAATAAAAGAACTGGGTCTTAGAGGCAGGATTTCTGTCTCTACGTCTGGTGCTTTTTGTTATTCTATAAACCACAAAAGATAGATGCCTACAAACCAGAAAAAGAAAGAAAAGGACCATTATCCTGCATATGTCATCATTGTTTTAAAATGTTTGTTATTTTTAATTTGAGTTATATTTTGACATACAGTTTTTCATGGTTTTGTTTATAATTACATGGAGTACCAATAGAAGAAAAAAAAATATTTTCAGGAGCTATGCTAAAGATCAGTGGATAAATCCATTTTATTGCCTGAATTTTATAAACTTTCCTGGTCCTAAGATAATCTTCTACAGATAAATGCCACTCCACTGCTGATAAGAGCAATAGATAAATAACACTGCACATTTTAAATGTCACGTACTTTGAATTTTATACTGTGCTCTTATAAATGAATCCATAAGCGAAAAAGAAAATGCTAAATGAATATAGTGATGAGGCTTACATTCTTGTGCTGCTGGTCTTGTTGATGATAACAGATTTCCCTGTTTGATCCACATTGTGATCCAACCCGAAGTAAGCTGCCACCCGATGGACAAGCATCCTCTGATAGGATGACATCTGAGGGAACTTTTTATAATGATTACTGAAAGAAAGGACCCAAAAAAAGTGGAATCAGCACTTTCGCTTCTGGCCTAAAGGACATTTTACAGGTACACACACAAAACCATTTCTCTTTCATCCAAACCACTGAGCCCATTTTGTCTCTGGCATCACGTTCTCATTTCCAGAAAAAAATTTTCGCTTATTATAGATTTATCCATTAAGTTATAATAAATACTTTTGTTTCATAGTTGCACATCTATCTCGCCAAAGAGAACTTAATATCTGTTGGAAAGTCTTCTATTTTAGGCCATGATATCTTATCAATGGAGCAAGGCATAGGATAAATGATATAACATGTGACTGCAGATGTCTATCTGGAGATGTGTCATTACACAGTTTACACCGAAAGCAGCACGATTATTTCCCAGCATAACTGACTGCAGCCAGCTGGAGCCCATTAAAAAACTATAATAAAAATGAAAAGGGTCGCTTCTTGTTATAGCTACTCTATGCTAATCAGTGGGCCCCTGTTTACAGCCATTTTGTCAGGAATTTAACAAGCAGGAGCACACATGGTCCAAGCCACAATTCTCATTAGTATATAGCTCCTAACTCCAATAGAATTTCCATTTAACAAATCAGCAAACATATGAAACAATGTTTTATCTACACCTCAATCGTTCCAGAATGAATAATTAAACTCGAATACCAAACTAAGACACATTCCATACATTAACCAGCATTGAAATTTAACATACTTGTTGTCACCAATGAAATCAATAATTTCCTGCTCCATTTTCAAGAGTATCATCCTGTCCCTGCAAAATAAATGTTAGAATGAAAAGGTTTTATGTATTTCTCCTTCCTAAAGACCTAAAAAGTTCATTTTGATGTATGGGAAAGATTGTTTTAATGTATATGGCTACAAACCTGTATCTAACTCTTGTCTGGGATATGTCGCTGTCCAATACATATGATTTCATTCTACTTAAGATTATTTCTCATCTTGTTTGTTAAGTATTTTATAATATTGAAACTTTTGTAGTTTTAATATTAATTAGCATATTCAAGGCATTAGGCCCACAAAACACATCAAATAAATTGTATATTTTAAATTAATTTGAAATAAGAACAAAGCAAAGTCCTACTAGATGGTTATATAACTGCATTAAAGCATAAATGGTTTATTTGATATTGATTTTTTCTCTATTTTTTTCCTCTTAACCAGTATCTCTTTGTGACCAGGAAAGCAGAATTTGTAAACTATAATTTATTCACTGGGTAACTACCCAGGAATTAAGACTATCTATAAACAGTAAACACACAAACTATTAACAGAAAAGAGAAAATACAAGAGATAGTTTAAGACATCAGAGAAGGGGTTCGCACTTTACAATTCCCTTCTTAGAAGTGTTTGGATTAATGACTGTGATTGTAATATTGCACGTGACTCTTCTAGAATTAAGAGGTGTATTTAATAATTTACCTGGAATTATTCTTTAATGTGTTAATCAGAAACTCATGTAAGTCTATGCCTGTAGAATCCGTGTATTCTTGGCTGCAATCTGAAACAAATAGCAGGATGGAGTCATCAGGAATGATGGTGAGGGGTAGGGTAGAAAAGATTTCCCCAGTCTTTCCCATTTCCCTCCTGCTCAGGTAAATTTTAGGTGAAGCTATTGGTATGAAAGATACACATTTCAAAACTAGCAATCTGGCAGTATAACATCAGAATGAAAATTAGATTCGGGGATTGAGAACACTCAATAGATCCTGAGTGTGGAAAGACCCAACTGTCATAAGAGGGGAAGTAGGCACAGTCTAGGTGGGTGGTGGGTGGAGTAAAGTACCACGTGTTCATCCTGCGCTTTAAATCAGCAAGGGCACGACCTCCACCTGTCAGGTACTCTCAACCCACAGAGAGAGCTCTCAAGAGTTTGAGATCCCATGGAAACTCTCAAAACCGAGAGGGGAAAAAAATGAAAGTTCTGTTATAAGATTATCTAAATATTAATCAGTACAAAACACAACACAAGAGGACACTAAATATTTCCAAGTCTTTCAAATCTTCTGATGCTGGTGAAATCTTAATTTCTAAAACCATTTTAGGAACCTATACTTCCTTACTCTGATATACATCTTGGGTTTTAGATATTCAGTAGTTGAAGACAATTGTTATTAGCAGATATGTGGTTATAGAGCATAATATTCGATGTAGTTGTCATTCCTCAGCTGATCAGATGCCCTGTTCTTTCTCAGTTATTAAAAAAAAAGAGTCTACTGCAAAGCTATTTATTCATGCCATTCTTCATTTCAACTTAGTTTTGTTTTTACTTCTGTTTTCTTTCTTTTTTTCTTTAAGTTTTGTACAATTACATGGATGGCAATAATTTGAAAAGTCTGGATTGTAGGTTTGCAGTTTTAAAAGGAATGACGTTTTTTGGAAAACTTTTTATTGAAGTAGAAGTCTGTATATTTTAGGTGAGATATTAGGTGGCAGTGTATGAGTGGCAGAGACCAAATTCATCTGTGCCAGGTAAAACGTTAAGTGTGTATTTCATTGACATTGACACATACGTATGTGCTTTGGAGACGACGTCACTTACGGACTGAGAATTGCTAATCCACAAACAGGAAAGTTAAGGTATTATTGCTGTTCATCCATCCAAGTTAATAGGACTAAAAAACCTGAATCGAGAGTGGATTTATATTCACTGCTTTGTACAAACTTATCTTTGAAAATAGGAGATCCAAATGAAAATCGAAAAAAACACTGGGTCCTAAAAATAATTTTTCTGGCTACACAAATAATGACACCATGAATGGAAAAGATTTGATTTCAGGTTTAAAGATAAAACCCTAATTTTTTATTTTCCTGATTCTGTACTTCAGCCTAATATAAACCAAGACATCCCACTGCTCTGGGCAGATCCACTCGGATTTTCTGTATGTAGGGGTTTATGGATTAAACACACACACACACACACACACACACACACACACACACACACACACACACAACTATATACAGTTTGGTGGGAGGTGAATATGCACCTAGAATGTATTCCGTGACTCTATGTATCTAAATTGAGTAAGTTAAGGAAACATTTTCACCTTCACCTTTTGATAACATTCTGATCTTGGGTTTTTCAGAGGATTTATCTTTGTTTTTATCCTTTTCTTTTTCTCTTTCAGAGTCATCTTTCCTAGATTTATCATCCTCTTGCAGGCTGGGAAAACTGGAAAGCTGTAAATGAATTGATTCCTGTTGGGGAAAAAATATAATAATTTAGGGCCAGATTTAATAATCTTTGTCTGGTTTCCATTTTGCATAGAGGTTATTAAGTACAGGAAAATGAAAGCCAGGTGCAGATTTTTTTTTTTCATAAATGGTAAAAAATTAAACCTGTCAGAAAAATAATTGCCCTTTAAGGTAAATTAAACTTCATAAGTCAATGGGAGGTCATGAGAAACATCTAGCACTAAAACTTTGCCTCATGAATATTCACCTTAAGCAAGTTACTTTCCTGTAGATCACAACTCTTTATTTTCTCTACAGGTTTATTTTTAAATACCTAGGAAAAAATTCTTTATCACTAAGCTTGTATCATAGCCACTGTCACGTCTTAAAAAAAGAGAAGCTTCTACAGCTCTTTTCTATAATTCTTTTTAAGAAGATTGGCACAAACACAAACAGACAGATATTACAAATCATAATTACAGATAGAACAGACATAAATAAAGGCCTTAAGAGCCCATTTACAATAAAAAGTCTATTTTAGAATTGTATCAACAATACTTTTACTATTAAAAAACCATGGTATATAATTACAGGAACCTTAGGCATAAATTATTTTCATACATTGTTTACAAATGCCATTAACAAACCATCACAATATATAGCTATAATAAGCATTATTGTAGAATTACATTTTCCATCAATTATATAAAAATATTTAATATTATTTTGATTTTGGTATCAGTTAATCCTTTCCAATATGTAAGATTCTTTTAAACTGATGCTTGGTGTAAGATTGATCATTTATAGTATTGGGTCTAAATCCACTTTTATATTTATTCTGTACTGAAAACGAATCATTTTGTATTAACTTGTATATCAGCCATTTGGTTGATCGTATGTTCATTGTTTTGAAGAAGAATGAGCCAAATTATGTTTTTTTAGTTTTATGAAAAACCTATGCTATGATTAAAACTATGACAAATTAGCCAACATTAAGCCCACTTGTTCTTATGTAAGAGATCATTTGATGGGAAAGCTTTCTTTCACTGGTGACATTAAAATTTATGATGTAAGGGAAAAAAACATATTCCCAATGACTAATAGTGTTTCTCACTGAAAACTAATCTAGTGCTCATCTACATGTGACTAAACTCATCCCTGTGCATCCTCAAATTATGGCTAATCTGGGATTCTTAATGGTTCTTGATAAACCTGGCTAATCTAACAAGCATAAAATAAAAGTACTCCAAAGCCAAGTTTCTTTTTGAAGAGGGGCTACATTGTGAGTTCCCTGTTGAAATAAAAAGTCACCATGGTATACATGATTTAGAGGATGAAATAAAACGTCCTCCTGATAAATATTTATCTTAGCGGATTCTTTGACATCCACATGTTTATCCTGGAGATGAACATATACAAATTATGTAAAACTGAGTGTGATTTGATTATAGGGTCTTTTATCACCTGATGTGGGACAGAAGTGTCTTAGTCCACAAATGTTTAGGCAGATTTTAGGGTTATGATTTGTTTCTACTTGCTAAGGAAACAGCTGGAACATTTCTTGCTCAGTAGACAGGGCAAGGGGTAGGGAAGAATCAATTCAACGGTTCATTAGGAGGGAAAACTGAGGGTACCAGGCCATGGCAGTGGTCTCATTGCTTCTTCAAAACCAATTGAACCATCCAGCCTCTGCAAGTTTGAATCTAAAATCAAAGAAGCTTGGAAATATAAAAGCAAGAGCAGAGGCTAAGGGACATCATCTACCAAAAAAATGGACAAACTCGTGCCATGTGTTGACAAATACTATACTCAGAAAAATGCCTATCTGTTCTATACATAAATATACATTATGGTGTTGAAAGAACACACAAAAGTGCTGTTGTGTTGGTAAAAAACAATCTGTTATTTTTTAATATTTTTATTGATATGCTCAATAATAAAATACAAGTGTTAATAAATACATTGGTACAGGATAAGTTTATATCCAAGAACAGTAAAAGAATGATTCAAGTTGCAGTAATACACTGATAGGTAAAGAGTATAACATTAGAAAAGCAAAACTCCTTTGACTTAAGGACAGACTCAACCATCAGCTATGGGTCTGAGATCAAGTAATACAGGTAGCAAGAGTTTTTCCCACACAGGAAAATGAAGGCAGTTTTCCAAATACTGTGAATATACAAACATTGGGGAAGCAATACAATCCATACACTGTATACTTCTGCCAGTGTTCTCTGGGATTCAGATCCCACACTTTGTAAGTACTGGTGGTACCTAATGAAGGCAGTACATATAAGCTCAAAGGTCTGCTTCTGTATCCTCTAAAAAAGTAGCATGGCCACTTGCTTATACGTGTGTCTGGGTATTTTCTAGCTGCCCTCTGCTCCCACCACCCCTCAGCCAGTCCAAAGAGAAGCTTGCAAGCTCTAATTCTCTCCTACAAAGCTAGTCTTGGTTATTGAGCTCGGAACCAGCAGCAACAAAGCACCGTTTGCATCTTATTTCTCTGCACCAATTGTATGGAGAAACTAGACTTAGGTCCAGGACGAGCACTATGATACAGATGATCTCTTAAAAAATGTCCTCCTGGTACCTTGTCAAATGGGATAAAAAGCAGATTAAGTCCATAAAGGCTGTCCTCTGCCTGGCATTAGGAGTAGGGGAACAACTGGGGCATTCTTTCTCCCAGAGTCTGACGTTCTGCAGGGTTAACACATATCGTGTGCAGTACATTACAAGCCATCAATCAACGTTTAATAATACAAGCCGTGATATTCACATGATTCCCCCTTTTCAATCTCCATTAAAAATAGAAGCACAAATAAAATGCTGAAGAAAAGCCACACATTTCTCAGAACCCAAGTAAAATAAAGCTTGTGTATGAAATATAGTCATGCCTTACGACATGAGTGGCATGTTAAGAAAATGAGGCTAGGAAAAAAATTACTCTTAGGACAAAACCTATAAGGAATTTATTTTTGGTCCTTTTAAAGAAAGTGCTCTCAATGCTCTCTGTATCCATGAGGAGAATTTAGAGTATTTCAATTAAAGTACAAAGAGAAAAGCAAAACAAGACCAAACAAAAATAATGATATCTTAATCAATTTTCCCTCCCCTGGGCTCAGATAAATCATTTTACTTTTGTCATGACTGCTCTCAGCCTCTGATAAAATAAGGGAAATATCAGCAAGACTATTTTAATAAAAGCTAATGTGATGCCTAAAAGGCAAACAATAATAAATATGATGTGAAGTTTCCCATTTTGTCACGAAGGGGTTTGGCTGGAATTTGAATTTTTAAAGTCTAATAGTCTTGCTGTAAGGAACAAAAATAAGTGTAAGGATATGCAGCAATATATTAACAATATTAACTTAAATTCACCATCAGTTCAGATTCATTTCTGAACAATTCTTCCAGTATTGAGAAATCTCCACCAAAGGCCATAAAAGTATTTCTCCAATGCTCAGTGCACCTTTTTCACTATTACTAAAGTTTCATAAGAGCCAAAGGTTGTGTTTCTTATAGGCAAATGCATCTGGGGGAGGGGAGGGGTAAGAGGTAAGAATCTTCCGTAAGGAAGGAGATGGGACACTTAGGACTATATTTGGTTCAGTCTTAGCAAGAGAGAGCCTTTGAGGAAATTCAGCGCTACCGGGCTTACTTTTTTAAGTTTTAATCTAAATTCTTTTGAAATCCTTTCCATTTGCAGTTTTCAGAGGGTCTGGAAAAAAACAAACGTAATACTCTGTGACAAACTGTTACACTAGTTTAGAATGTCTTATAAACAGGGGATGAAGCCAGAAACCCATTTCTTTCTTCAATTATTATTTTTTCTCCCCAAAACACTGTCTAATGCCAAATTGATAGCCATGCACGTAAAGGTGGATCCCATTCATGCAAGTAACTATAGTAACAGGGGGTTGTACCTGATCCTGAAGATTTTCGCCTCCGGGTCTGGAGGATTCTTCACAGACAGCGAGACTGCGAGTCAGTTTACCTTTTCCTGCTCCTGACTGGGAAGGGGGAAGAAGATGGAAGGAAGAGAAAATAAAGAAAACAAACAGAAAACATTCTCAGGGGGTAGAATCGTCTCCACTTCACACGACAACCCCGAATCAGATTTAAAAACTGAGCTTCAAGTCGGCCGCCCAATGTTGTCTTTCTACTTTGGCTCAAAGCACCAGATTCCTGTGTTGATGGGGACTAAATTGAGGGGAAATGTGAATGAATGAATTTAAGAAACACTTTCAGCAAACTGTGCCCGTCGCATTAGAAACTCACAAAGAATGAATTGCTGCCATTTCGTGAAAATATCAGAAGAAGACTATGACAAAAAATAATTTCTACAAAAACCAAGTTTGGAAGGGATTTGACTGAGAAGATGCTTCAAAAAATGCAGAATATGTCCTAACACCAGCACCTGTTTACTTTAAGGCAGACATCAATTGGGAAGGCTTAAACATTCACTCCACATTTTATATAAAATGAAAACAAAACAAGCAGCTATTTGTTTTGTAAAGCACTGTCAAATCTGCACCTCTGAAAATGAGATCAAATATATAGACTTGCAGATATGTGGACCCTAAATGCTCTAATGAAAAAGCACATAGATTGAGAAAGGAAGATAGATGTAAACACAACCCCATTAAAAGCAGACAGCGCCAGTACGGCCCAAATACACCACAACATCTACATACAACCATCTGAACTGTTGGCAAGTCCTTGAACTCAGATGGGATATGTGCGATTGATATCCATGATATCAAGTCTATGTAGATGCTCTAGAATCTTACCTTTGACTTTCTTCTCTCTTGGTTCTGAGCCGCCAGCCGCCTCTATATGTTAGAAATAAAATAAAGCAAAATAAAAACAAACAAACAAGCAATAAATGAACAAGCAGAGAGAGTGTGTAAAATGTGTCACTACAGTCAAAAAATTAACAGTGTAACAGGAACAAGGCATTGTAAGCACTGGGGAGGGTTCCTGCTTCCCTCACCCCACTAAAGTTTTGATTGTTTAACTTTTAGCTCTCTCTCCTTCAGCAGCTATTGGAGAGGGGAAAAGCTGACCTTGAAGGCTTTGGGCCACCATGTGCTTAGCTGCCTTTACTCACTGGCATATGAAAAGAGTTAATACTTTTGTAGTTTCGTTCAAAGAAAATCTATACGAGCTATTTGCAAGCACAGTTTGTTTTCCCTCTACTAAATGTCTTTCTTTCATGACTCAGGGCGAATTTAATCATGCCACTTTTTCAGCATTGTCAGTCACTTCCAATGCCTCCCCTCCCTCCTTTGTAGTTCTCTCTCTCCCTCTCCCTCTCCCTCTCTCTGCGAATTCCACGGCTTAGGCTTGTTTGCTAATAAGAATTGAACCTTAGCCAGAGCATGAAGGTAAACAAAGTTCATGTTGTTGATTTTTCTTAGTCTATCATGATCTGGGTCTTTATCTTTCCATGGAATAGCAAATCATTTTTAAAACCCAGCCTAGCCTAACGCTGCCTCCGGAGAAGCCCTCCACAATGTCCTTGAGGTGGTCTGGAAATTAGTATGGAGATGCTGTATGCAAATTCAGTCATTAAATACATTCTTTGTATATTTTTCATTTCAAAAGGCATTTTTGAGCATGGTTTGATCAGTGGGGAAAAAAGCAACTAATAATTGGGAAAGGAGAGGATTAGCTTCATGGATTTTCTATTCATTTTACTAATCAAACTCTTTAAAAAAAATAAAAAACAAACCTTCAAAGTTGTCTAAAAATAAAAGGAAGGAAATAGACACGATGGTACGAGAAACATTTTTTTTGTCCAGGCTCACCTGCAATTCCAGCTTCTCCTCTTCATCCAGACTTTCCGATTTAACAATGCCATTCTCTGGAGTGGCCCTTTCCTGCTCTGTCCCGCCTTCCTCCACTATTGTCTGATTCAGGTCCCCTTGCTCAGACATTCTCTCAGATGCAAATTAAAATAGCAAGGTTTGATGCCCTACAAGGTTAAGAGGTCAGAAAATAAAGTCAGCGCCGAGTGAAGTATTTACTATTGTTCTTGAAATATTTCATTTCTCCCTTTACAGTCAACTTCAAATGAGCAGCTCAGGCACTCCTGCCAGTTTTACACAAAAAGGAGAATAAAACGAGATCACATCAAGTACCCAAGGCAAACACATGAGGCAGATTCAGTTGCCCTATCCACAGTCGCTCCACACACTTACACAGACACTTGTGAATCTATCTTGCCATCAAAATGGGTCAACAAAGCTTAAACGGAGGCACATAACTCCCACACATCTAACAGGCCCTGTGCCCGACTACTAAGTAAGAAAAAAAAAAAAAAGAGTATTTCTCCAACCCCTTGAACAGATGACCCTCCACTTGTGAGTCCAGAGGTGGCCTTGGCGGGCCGCAGCCCCTCTAAGGCGACTCCAAAATTACCTGCGCATCTTAATCATAGACAAACTTTTCTAGGTGTCAGGAACGCAGTACACTCTACAAGGGGCAAAAATCAGTTTAAGAGGTACTAATTCGGTTATGAATACAGGATCTAAATTTAGCAATCCACCTTTCAGGGCCCACGTTTTCAGGCTGCAAACTGACAGCTACTTTATTAAAAGCATAAGCCCTCTTCCAAGCGCCTGTCAGTTGCTGGTGCGGCACAGATCCTGGGGAGTCTCTGGCAGGCGGCGCTAATGAAGCTATTGCCGCAACTGAAGTCCGCTCCTCAGGGCTCACAACAGACTACTACTCAGACACTAGAAATGGCTTTTCAAAGTCAGAGCCTGTTATTTATTTATATTTCCCCCTACCTCCATAAAAATCCCTGACACTTCTCCTTCTGATGTGCTGTCAAATGAGGCTCATGAATAATTTAGCAGTTACTTTGTCCTCAGTTTTTTTTTTTTTTTAGGATGTGAGAAAAAAAGAAATAAAGAGGAAAGAAAAACAAAGGAAGGAAGGAAGGAAGGAAGGAAGGAAGGAAGGAAGGAAGGAAGGAAGGATGGAAGGAAGGAAGGAAAGAAAAGGAGGACTCGATCATGGAAATTTCACTAGATGTTTGATGACATTAAGGAATTACCAGGAAGGAAGGAAGGAAGGAAGAAAGGAAGGGGAAGAGAAAAAGAAAGAAGAGAAGAAGGAAAAAGAGAGAAAGACATTGTTGTCTAGAAAGTCAGTTTTTTCACAAAAATTCCCAAGCAATACGGTTCTGATCCTAGTCATTACAATGGCAATTATTATTGGTCAAATGAGTATTTTGATATGTTTCTTTGAGAGTGTTTAATTACCATTTAATAATTCAGTAACTTTATTTCCAACTAGGTATAGGAAGTATGAGAAAAATCTAAAATGCTACAATTTCTGTTGCAAATTTGCTAATATGTACCATGACAGAACAGATGGTATCTAATGATATCTTTAAAAAAAGGCAAGCTTATTCGGCAAAGGATTGTGAGAATGTAAAGGAAAAGTCTTCTTAAAGAATGATGCTTTGAGTGTGTGAGTGACTACTAAGCAAGGCTTTTAAATCTGGGGAGGTTTTAGGCTATCCCATCCAGTGTACATTCTGACAGACTTCTTTCAGTGACACTGGGTATGGGTATAGTTAACAAAATAAAAAGTTCTGTTTCCCAATGGCAAACAGCTTGTTTCTCAACGTCCTGGGTAGGGGGAGGAGACGGAACTTCTGTTGCCTTAACTTTTTTTTCAGAGCATTCCAATAAAAAACAAAACAAAACAAAAACAGATTTAAAATAGAATGAACAAATTACAAACCATAAGCCAGTGGAGTCCCTGACACAGACCCTGTCTGTTGAGGTTACGCTTAATGAACTGTCCTATGCAAGCAGGCACATTTATATAATAATAAAAAATATAGATGAGATGACAGCCAGACAACAAGACTTTTACCTTTGGCGGAATTCCTGC